CGAGGGAGGACAGCTTTAATTCTGGAATGCGCGGGGCCAGGGATACAATCTTAGCGTGCAGCTGGTCTACGGTCTTACCAGACCCTGATTTGTTCATGACTCTGCCTAGCAAGGATAAATGAGAACTTAAAACAGCCCACCAGTTACAATCGTTATGTGCGGACTGCAGCGGGGCGGACTTTCTGCTTATAGCCTTGACCTGTATAGGTTGAATAACGCCTCGCCCCTTGAAAGCTGGCTGCGCATCTGGCGGGATAGCATAAGCTTCACAGTAAAAGTTCTCCATGCGAGAAGCCCAGATGCCGAACTTCACAGCAAGCTGTTCAGAAGCCACGGGGTCGGCAATATACCCTAAACAGCTGCGGATCACCGAGGGGGCTCCTCGCTCGATCTCTCTCAGCACGCGCTTATCGGGATGGGTCTGTGCCCAAACATCTCCAAGCAAACGGGTGTCAGGAGGAGGAGGAGGAGGCTCGGAGGACGGAGCGGGCTCTACTTCTAGCGGGGGCTGCTCTTGGGGTTCGGGTTCGGGGTCTTCGGGGGCCTGGCCGACCTCAGGGAAACCGCACTCAAAGTCTTCCCCTGGAGCTTCACCCACCGCTGGCAAAGGGCCGAAGGGGGCCTCGGCATCTCCAAACCCTGGGGCTCCTTCGGCGCCTCGTCGAGGCTTATAAATGCAAACATTCTCTGGCACAGGCTTGGGTTTAGATCTGCTCTTCTTTAAACTCGACTTGCTGGATGGGTCGGGCGCGCGCTTGGGCAGGGGAGGGTGAGGAAAAGGCCTAGGCACCGCGCAAGTGCGGTGCTCAGCGTCAGACGGGTTCAGGCCCAGCATGATCTGCAGGCCTGCATGTGACCTTCACTCGCCGTCCATGACTGACTGCGTGTTCCTCACGAAGGGAGCGAGGTCCTTGGAGCAGACGGCGAAATCGTAGAGTCTCCCTTCTCCAGCGAAGCTCGTTATAACCATATTCTCAGGGGGGACTTGCACTGCGACCAGCTTCTCCATCCAAGTGTCGAGGTCGGCAAGCTCTACATTCCAATCTCCGGATACGATCCACGGGGCAGCCTGGGCAGATAGAAATCCTCCTGGCGTTCGCAACTTTCTCAAGTTTCTGCCTCTAACTCCAATTCCATGATCAAGGTAAATCTGCACTACAACAATCTGTTGCCAGGACGTTCTGATACTCATGGCCGAGAAATCGTGGAAGTCGGCTGGGCCGCGTCCGAGCTCCTTCTTGCCGCCATCACTGGTGCCGTAGCACTGGGAGACATCCGCGGCAAGGTGAGCGAAATGACGAGCATTCAGACCTCGCTTGACAGCCAACAACGTTCCACCAGCCTTCTTGATGTTGTCCCTGGGCATTGCTGGAGACAAAACTGGTCTCCAGCCAGCTTTCGTAATGTCGTTGCCCAGGTCGTCCATATCTTCAGGTCCCCGATGATGTTCGCAGAGCCCCACGATGTCGTAGCACTGCCAGTCCTTCTTGAGGTGGTCCACGACTTTGGGGCCCCACTTGGTGATGTTGCGCATGTAGATCCTCAGCGTCTTATCTGCGCCTGCCTTGCACTCTGGGGGTCCAGGACGAACATCAGGGCAAGGAACAAGCGGCCGCGGGTCTCCAGCCGATTCGCCTGCCCCAGAGCTCCTTGGCCCGCTCTGCGCCGTCGTCGGGGAAACCCCTCTAACGTGAGCGTAGCCAAGGGTCGTTGGGACAGGAGTCTCAACCTTCGCAGACACCTGCGGCCTCGGAGGTGACAAGGAAGTCGCGCGTGTGGCCGTACTCGTAGAAGTAGGAGTGGGCTCGGCCATGCCCACAGGCTCGATGTTGTCGCAGCGAGCTCCTGCGCCCCCCTCATGGTGTAGCCCAGGGGGGTGGGCTGCTGCTTGTCAAGCGTGAGCGTCGCCGCCGCTGCTGCCAGCAGCGCCGCCCTTGCTCATGCCCTTGCCAGCTGCGATCAACTCCGCTTTGCGCGCATTGATCTTGTCCAGCTCCTCCTGGGACGGCCCTAGATGGGTACTCGATGCTGCCGACGTGCTGCCAGTAGCTGCAACCTCGGGCTCCTCTGCAGGGGCGCCCGCCGCTGAGGCTCCGTCGTTGCACTTCTTGCGCTTGTGGGAGAGCAGCCGCTGGCGCTGCTCCTTGATGGTCTCGATCTCCTTCTGCACCTGCTGGGCCATGGGCTTGAAGTGCTCTGTCACGAGCTGCTTGATGAAGGCGCCGAGCTGGGTCTTCCTCTCACGCCATTGTTCGAGGAGCTCACCAGCGCCTTCATAATCATCTTCTTGGCCCTCCAAGTCGAGCAGATCGCCTTCGCTGATGGAGATGTCTTCGCCCTTCAGCAACGCCTGGAGGTCGATGCCCGTCGTGGCGGGCGGCGAGGCCTTGGACGCTGGTGCCAAGCTGGCACGCACACGCTCCTCCTCCGCCTCGGCCTCCGCGAGCTTGGTGGCCTGGTCCGCGAGGTAGTGCTCCGCCTCGGTCCACTGCCGCTTGGCCTTCTCGACCCACTGCAGTGCTTCTTGATACTTCTTGTTGGCTGCACGTGCCGCTTCAGCTGCTTGCTTGAGACGGGTCTCGGGCAAGATGGGAATAGGCTTGGGCACTGGTGCGACCTTACTCTTGAGCTCCTTGAAGAGGTGTGGGTCGATGCGGCGCGCGATGACGGCGAGCGCGTCCTCCATGACCACATCATCTGGGTCCAGATCTCTGTCCTTCTTCAACTTCTTGCGATTCTTCTTCTTCATCTTCCCCCCGCCTTGGCCGAACTTACCCCTCTGGACGTAGCCCATCGCATCAGCAGGTAGCGGAGGCGGCGGCATCGGCGGCCTGGGTGGGACCATGGCAAAGGGGGAAGTCACATGGTTGCCGAACATGTCTGGCTGCGGGAACATAGGCCAAACTGGCTGCGAGCAATCCGAACAATACCACACGCCTCAATCTCTCGAGCGAGGTTGGAAGTTCAGGAGCAGGCCCCTTGAGCCAAAATGGCTACGGGAGGAGGAGGAGGAGGAAGAGGAGGAGGAGGAGGAGGAGGAGGAGGTGGATGATGATGATGACGATGATGATGATGATGCTGATGATGATGATGATGATGATGAATGATGCTGATGAGGAGGAGGAGGAGGGAGGAGGAGGAGGAGGGGGAGAGGAGGAGGAGGAGGAGGAGGAGGGAGATGAGAGGAGGAGGAGGAGGAGGAGAGAGGAGGAGGATGCGGAGGAGGAGGATTAGGATAAGGAGGAGAGGAGGAGGAGGAGGAGGAAGAGGAGGGAAGGGAGGACGGCGGATGCGGAGTCGAGGCGGAGGGGGCGAGAAGATGAAGAGGAGGATGGGTATGCGGAGGAGGAGGGGATAGGAGGAGAAGAGGAATAACGACAGGAGGAGGAGGGGAGGCGGAAGAAAGCAGGAGGAAGGGGGGATGAGGAGGGGAGGAGGAGAGGAGGAGGAGGAGGAGGAGCGGAGGAGGAGGGGAGGAGCGGAGGGAGGATGAGGAGGAGGAGGAGCAGGAGCAGGAGGAGAGGAGGGAGGAGGAGGAGAGGAAGGAGGAGGAAGGAGAAGGAGGCGGGGAGGGAGGAGCGGAGGGAGGAGGAGGAGAGAGGAGGAGGAAGTAGGAGGAGGAGGAGGAGGAGGAAGAGGAGGCAGAGAGGAGCGAGAGCGAAGGCGAGAGGGGGAGGAAGTGGAGGAGGCAGGAGGGAGAGGCTGGAGGGAGGCAGGAGGGAGGAGGCTGGGAGGAGGAGGGAGGGGGGGGGGAGGGCGGAGGAGGGCAGAAGGGAGGAGCTGGACGCAGGAGGGAGGAAGGGAGGAAGGAGGAGGAATAAGGAATGAGAGGAGCAGGAGGCGGAGGCAGGAGGGAGGGCAGGAGGCGGAAGCGGAGGGAGGAGGAGGACGGAGGAGGGAGGAGGAGGAGAGGAGAAGGCGGAGGGGGGAGGAAAGGAGGGAGAGAGGGAGAGGAGGGAGAGGAGGAGAGGAGGAGAGGAGGAGAGGAGGAGAGGAGGGAGGAGGAGATGAGGGACGAGGAGGGAGAGGGGAGGGGAGAGAGGGAGAGGAAGGAGAGATGGAGAGGAGGGAGAGGCGGGAGAGGAGGGAGAGGAGGGAGAGGAGGGAGAGGAGGGGAGAGGAGGAGTGAGGAGGAGGAGGAGGAGGAGGAGGAGGAGGAGGAGGAGGAGGAGGAGGAGGAGGAGGCATTCTATGGTAAGGTCCCTGGCGCGCAACGAACTTCATGAAACTGCATGTTGCCCGCCTTGTGAAGTGGACGAGCGGTGGCAGACACTGGTCCGCTCACAAGGTCAAGAGCCGCTTGCCCCCGCTGCTCGCCTCCCCCTTCGCTCCCCTCCCGCCCTCGCCCCCCCCTCCGCCTATCTCTCGTTCTTCGATCCTTTCTCTCCCCCCCCCTAGCCACAAAATATCTAACAGACGAACGCCCGCTGCTCGCCTGGGCAGGCCAGGGCCGAGCCTCTCGGTGGCGGCGGCCGCTGCGCGCGAGTGCGCGCGGGGCCGCCGCGGAGCGCACCCACCAGCTTATGATGATCGCAGATCAATTTGGAAATGGCCCAGCCTCCACGCGCTGCTTGGGAGGGAGGGAGGGCAGGGCGGGCGAGGGGATCCGAGCGAGGGGGGATGGGAGGGAAGGCCGGGCGGTGGTCGGCCAGAAGCGACATTAGCGCAAACACTGCTCGTCTGATGCAGTAGTTTTCTCCCCGAGAGCCAAGGGGTGCCACAGGGCGGGGTGGAGGGAGGGAGGGAGGGAGGGAGGGACTCATGTTGCCCAGGTGGGAGGAGCTTTCCTTTATCCCCCATCATGTGCTCCAACCCTGTTTTTGCGCATTGCCGGAGTCGCTGGGTTTGCTGCGAATTGAGGAATTTGGGGCGTTCGTCACCCTCGTAAGCGCTCTGAGCACATGCTCACGGTCGAATCGTCCGTCTCTCCTTTGTCGACATTTCGGGTTCAAGCTTAGAGGGCCTTCGAGCATCGCGCGCGTCGGTGCCGAAGCCACGCCATGGCCATGGTGGTAAAGGCCCTCGGGGCTTCCTCTCCGCGTGGACTGCTAGTCGAAGTTTGAAGCCCTACCTTTGCACAGCTACGAAGCGATTGCAGCAGATCGTATTGGCTCTGGTCATGCTGCTTTGATTTGTCGTTGTGCCGGTAACGCGCAGCGGCTGGGCGGATGTGGGCGGCGGATTTGGCAGGGGGTCTTGGCCGTCGTGAGTGGACAGGGCGGTAGGTGTTGTGCGCGTCGGATTGCGCAACGCCGTGGGCGGGCAGGGACTAAGCGAAGATCTGCCTGGCGAGTAGCCCCACCGTCAGACTGGCCACGCCTCAGGCAGTTGAGGAGGTGTTCTCTCGCGCCTTCTCAACCCTCCGTATCTCCTTGTTTGAGGCCTGTGGGTGGGGGGAACTCTGTCTCACTCCTCTTCTCGCGCGGGCGGCCGGAATGTTCCATGAGCGGTCCACAGCTGATCATGCGCTCGCCACGGAGGAGGAACAGGAGGAGGAAGAGGAGGAGGAGGAGGAGGAGGAGGAGGAGGAGGAGGAAATGGAGGAGGAGGAGGAGGACGGTGGGGTGTTGAGGAATGGGGAGAGGGAGGGGGAATGAGGGGGAGTAGCAGGAGAGGAAGGAGGAGGAGGAGGAGAAGGAGGAGGAGGAGAAGGCGGAGGAGGAGGAGGAGGAGGAGGAGAAAGAGGATGAGGAGTAGGAGGCGGCCCCTCACCCACAGGATATCTAGCACGACATTGGCAAGCAAGCCTTCAAGTTACAGCTCTTTGCTATCGGGAGATGTATGTTTCGCCACTCGGTACTCGGAACATTTGTGAAACACAGGATCAGCATCATGCCGAATCACATACATTGGATAATAGTACTTCGTCCCCTTCACGGTCCGGGACTGTTCCAGAGGAGCTTCTTAATCTGGCAGCTGCCGTGCTTTGACGGACAAGTGGAACGTGCTTTCCCCCTCTTTATATGTTCTCCCTTCCCCTTTCCCACTTCTCTCTCTCTCTGTTTATCTTTACGTTGTTCTTCTTTCACACGCATTGTCTCTCTCTCTCTCTTGCTTTTTCTCTTTCTGTTGTTCTTCTTTCACACACACATACTGTCTCTCTCTCTCTCTCTGTCTCTCCAGGTCCCCAAACCCCTCAGGGTGTGGCTCGACACCCAGCGGCACAGGGAAACGGAGCGGCACTCCTCTTGTACTCTCCAATCGCCACGGCCGTCATGGGCAAGGGCCGCCGCGCGACGACTACGGGTCCTCCGACGAGGGGCCCTCCTTCTGTGTGCCGTGCCGTCGGCTTTCCGTGTCGCGCCTGTGTGCTAGAGTGGGAAAAGGATGTGCCGTGCCGTGCCAGGCCCGCGTGCCGTGCCGTGCGCGTGCCGTGCCGTGCCTGAGTTTCAAGAAATACGACGGATGTGCCGGGCCGTGCCGGGCCGTGCCGTTCCCGCGTGCCGTGACGTCCCTGCGTTTCAGGATGCGAAGCAGACGCCGTGCCGTACCATGCGCGTGCCGTGTCGTGCCCGCGTGCCGTGCCGTGTACGTGCCATGCTTGTGGTCTAATTTGCGAGCAGTGTGCCGTGCCGTGTCCGAGTTCCAGAATGCGAAACATGTTCCGTACCGTGCCCTGCAGTGCGGGTGCCTTGCCGTGGCGTGCCGTGGCGTGCTCGTGTGCCTGGTTTTCAGGCACCGTGTGTCTTCTCCTGCAGCGTTGGTGCTTCGGGTCCCTCTATGCTTGCGAAAAGTTATGTTCCGATGCAGTTCCCGACCATCCTGTGGTGTTGGGCCTTCATTTTGAAGAGACAGCGCCCCGCGTCCTCACCTCCCGCTGTCCCCTCCCTGACTCAGTTCCTTCGTGGGCGGTGGCGTAGCCAGCATCTCACGCGTCCCGTAGCTATTGGCTGGGTGGTCGCGCTCGCAATGTCGCGCCCCAGGAAACAGTGTGTGCGCGTAACGGATCGCGCTGGCCGGCTTCTTGCTCATCGCCTTTTTGGCGCTGCACGTCGACCTGGAGCCCTTCCTGGTCCTCCGCGCGTTCTGAGCCACAGCGCAGTTCGCTCCTGTGCGCTTGGTGCGCAGTTCAGGTCGTTGCACTGCTTCGTTCTCATGGCGCGCGGCTGTACCGTTTGCGCTTGCGCCCCCCCCCCCCAAAAGTAACGGATCGCGCGGCCCGCCCGACGGCGCCCCGCCCGGCCGGCCGATCCGCCACCGCGGAGGCCGCCGCCCTCCTCCTGGCGCTGCCGGGCACGGTCGGCGCCTCGACCCACTGCCCGTGTGGGTCCACGTGCCCCGGCCCCGCCGCGCGCCGGCCTCCTCCCGCCTCCTCCTCCTCCTCCCTTTGCTGCTCCTCCTCCTCCTCCTCCTCCTCCTCCTCCTCCTCCTCCTCCTCCTCCTCCTCCTCCTCCTCCTCCTCCTCCTCCTCCTCCTCCTCCTCCCTCTCCCCTAACAGATATCCCCCTGGACATCTGCCGGGGTGCGTGCTGGCCAGAAGGTCCAGGGGAATGTCGGTTCCGACCCCAGTAGGGCTCAGGCCAGGGTGCATAGGAGTCCCTGGGCAGGTTCTTAGCAGACTCTCTCCGGTTTCTGGGCTCTCTGCTGACAGGCCACCGGAATCGCAAACGACTCCGGGCCCGTCAGGCTGGATAGCTAGTACTTCCTCCCATTCCCTCCCGTATCCCCCCCTTAGCCTCGCCTCCCCATGATTCCAGAGTGCTCTAAGGGCTGCCTTCCTGTTTTCCTCTGGCTATCTCTCTTGCGTGGTGGCACAATTCGCTACAATGGTGCCCACGTTTAGTTAGCTCTTCCGCGAGCGTAGTTACTCCTTAGCCGCCGACACAAAACAAATGTTTTCCTCTGGCTGCGTGGGTGACGTTGTTTCGGACCAGCTCGTTACTTCGTGAAGGCTCCCTGTTGAAGGCCTGTGCTAGCCTGCGTCGTTAGTTCCCATGTGTTTGACACGCGCCTCGATCGAAAGCTTTGTTGACGCCCCTTTTCGCTGAATCGCAGGGAGAGGCACAATCGCCACATCACACCAACACCCTACTTTCCAAGTGCGGCACTGGGTGACGCTTCTGGGCTGTCGGGAAATCAATGCGCACTTCGGATTGCCCAATCGGGCCTCGATCTCCTCGCTGACGGCGCATTGGTGCCAGGTCCGTTGTGAGCCCAGTGAGGTCACAAGAAGTACGCTTCTGGCGAGCAAGCTGTTTTTGGACGAGTCTCAGCCCACTGCGACCCAGTTGAGGTGGCTTCCTCTTCGAAGAGCCGTGGAAAAGCGCTGAGGGGCCCACCCTCCTGGTGGCCGCCCAGCGGTGGGATGACCTGGCGGGGGCGACCTCGCGTTTGCCATTGCCTTGATCACTGATCGCTACCGCAGCGCTTGCTGGTCGTATCGCTCACTGCCTATGGTGGCTAACGATCGGTCGCACGATATACCCGCGATCATCGCATTCGCCTCTGCGATTCTAAGCGTATTCGGACGGCGTGATGGCGTCGTGTGGACGGGAAGCGTGTTGTCGATCACGTGATTTTCCTGACTCGACCTTCCCGGTGATCGATCGCACGGCACGATGGACAGGCGATCATCGTGTTCGCATTTGCGATGGTAACCGCTTAAATTGCTCATGCTCAGGAGTTGCATTTTTTTGGGGGCTTTTGCTGCGCATCCTATGTTTGAACTGCGCATCCGAAGCTTGTACTGCGCATCCTAATCTTGGCTTGGTCTGCGCATCCTCGCCTCGCATCGCTCGTGATCGCAGTGTGGCAAAGCTGATGTTGTTCCTTCCTATTCTCCTTCTCTCTTCGTCATTGTCTTCCGTGGTCGTTGCCCAGCGCCTTTTACGTGCATGTTGTACTCGGTCGCCAACGAGCGCGACATCTTGGGAGCACGCCCAATTTTGGTCAACGGGGGCGCCAGACTCACAGCAGTCGGCTGGCGATGACCTACAGGGCTTTGCTCAGTTCTCTTCCTCTTCCTCGTTCTCGTCCCCCTCCTCCTCCTCCTCCTCCTCCTCCTCCTCCTCCTCCTCCTCCTCCTCCTCCCGCCCCCTCTGCACCCCCTCGTTGGGTAAAGAGAGCCGGATTTTGTTGGGAGAGCGTTCTTATTAGCGGTGGCGGACATTTTCCCAGACACCAAGTCCGTGACAAGCGTTTGTGCTCCTCTTGTCCAGTAGTTGGGCAGTATTTGTCCGCCTGAGGCGGGGCATGCAGCTGACGGCGAGTAACATCAGGCAGTATGTCCCCTGTTATGAACAAAAGCAGGGTATTGCAAATTTCAGGATGATCGCGGAACTTGAGGCAATCACGACCGCCGTCCTTCTCCTGTTCTGCATTCTCGGTCCTCTTCCGGCCATCCCCAAGTATTTGTCGGTCTGGCTGTCTGACCTCTCGTTGAATGGTATCTCCACTTTCTGCTGGGCAGTGCTGTAACCCGACGGCGTGCAGGGAGGAGGAGGAGGAGGAGGAGGAGGAGGAGGAGGAGGAGGAGGAGGAGGAGGAGGAGGAGGAGGAGGAGGAGGAGGAGGAGGAGGAGGAGAACGAGAGGTGAGCGGGAAGTGTTGGCGGTGGGCCATACCGGGAGCGCCTTGTTGGTTCCACGTATCGGTGGATCTGTGCTCGATCATCGGGCAGAGGCAGGCCTGGCGGGCGGGTAGCCTCCCTCGCGCCACAGCGGCAGGCGCCAGTTGACCGACGCGTGCAGAGCTTGCCTCACGTCGCGCTGCAACGCGGGTGGCAACGGCATCAGGACCTTGTCTCGGGCTATGCCGCCGCACCCGTGCGAGCCCGCAATCGTCTGTAGTGATCGAATGCTCCAGGAAGGTTTCCGACGTTCTTGAGCGAATGACCTGATTGTTGACGTCCTGCGGGTTTCCAGTCCATCCCGAAACGATGCCCCGTTGAGGTGCCTTGGTCAGGCAATTCTAGGAGCATGCAGTGGAACAAAGAGGGGGGGGGAAGCCGTCAAACCTGAACGGCCCTAAGAGTTAACCATACATGTCTTCGCAGATCTGTCGAATGATGATGATAAGGAGGAGGCGGATTAGAAACATGAGGATGAGGAGGAGGAGGAGGAGGAGGAGGAGGAGGAGGAGGAGGAGGAGAGGAGGAGGAGGAGGAGGAGGAGGAGGAGGAGGAGGAGAGGAGGAGGAGGAGGAGGAGGAGGAGGAGGAGGAGGAGGAGGAGGAGGAGGAGGAGGAGGAGGAGGAGGAGGAGGAGGAGGAGGAGGAGGAGGAGGAGGAGGAGGAGGAGGAGGAGGAGGAGGAGGGAGGAGGAGAGGAGGAGGAGGAGGAGGAGGAGGAGGAGGAGAGGAGGAGGAGGAGGAGGAGGAGGAGGAGGAGGAGGAGGAGGAGGAGGAGGAGAGGAGGAGGAGGAGGAGGAGGAGGAGAGGAGGAGGAGGAGGAGGAGGAGGAGGAGGAGGAGGAGGAGGAGGAGGAGGAGGAGGAGGAGAGAGAGGAGGAGGAGCGCAGGAGGAGGAGGAGGAGGACGAGGGGGAGGACGACGAGGAGGAGGAGGAGGAGGAGGAATGCAGAGGAATGAGGCAGACGATTGTGTGGAGGAGGACGAGTAAGAGAAGGAGGAGGAGGAGGAGGGGGAGGAGGAGGAGGAGGAGGAGGAGGAGGAGGAGGAGGAGGAGGAGGAGGCCTATCTTGACCTAGCGGTCGTGCTTCCAGCCTCGCAGCAGACCCTGCAGACCAGGGGAGCTCATGTCCCAGGCACCGCCGCCAGACTTGCTGAACATGACAAGCGCCGCAAGTACGATGGCGTCGCTGGCTTCCAGCCCCTCGGGTTTTTGAAGTCTCGGGAGGCATGGGCGAGTTCACGCGAAAGTGGCTTGCGCAGCAAGTGCCAGAGGGGCCTTGGCGCCAGGAGACACTTAGCACACTCCACCAGTCCATCGCCACCTGCGTGGTCCGGGAGGTGGCGCGCACGCTGATCAGCGCTGTCTGACGTGGCCGCCGGGCCAGCCAGCGCGCCCAACGCAGGGGTCTGGTGGCTCACGCCCCTGGGCCTCGAACTGGCCACCTCTCGACGACTGCAACGCAAGGCTCTCGCCGCGCGCGACGGCCGCGATCATTGAGACCACGCACTACGACCCCCGCCTGTCGTCCCCCCCTGCTCCCTCCTCCCCCCCCCCTTCTCCCCCCCCCCCTGCGCGGCGGCGCCGCGGCGGGTGCGGGCGTGGCGGGCGCGGGCGCGGCGGGCGCGGCGGGCGCTCGTCGCGCGGCGCGTAAATTCGGCGGACGTCCGCGCCCGGCTTGCAAGGGCCCTGCACCCAGGCACGAGGATCTTCGCGCCCCTCGCGAGTGCGACCTGCCGGGTGGATCAACGGCGGGGGGGTCCCAGCTCGGCGGTTCAAAAAGATGTGGGCGGTCTATAGGTGGGGGTGGCCTTCGCGCGCGGGCGCTGGCCGAAACGCTGGTCTACAATCTTGGGGGGCGTTGCGATCATAGCAAGAGGCAGCTGTGCCAGTTTCTTTTTGGTTCCGCCTGCTTGACGTTGCGTTGTGGCTTGGTTCATTTCCCCTTTAACACAGGCTTGCGCTCTGGGCAACTGGTGCTAGCTCTGGGAGTTACTTGCATCATCATGGGCGGCCAGTTTGCGCGGTGATTCGCGGAACTTCTTACGTTCGCGTTTGTTTGTGCGACATTGCGGGGCTACGGTTGAAACGCGTGGTGCGGGCCTTACGTCTGCCGTTTCCTTTTTCTGCTCCTCTCTTCTCCCCTCTCTTCTCGTCTTTCCTTCTCTGTCCGCAGGATGCAACTTTCACTTGTTTGATGGTTTGGTGCATGAAACTCGCTCTGTGGTCTAATTCGTGCCCTTACCGGGATCGTCATCTGCAGTGGTCCGTTCTTTTTTACCATCTGCAACAATTTGCCATGGCAGTGGGCCCGCTGCATGAGTATGGTGTCATATGTGCGGCGCCACGATGTGGTGCGACGACTGCTCGCGGGGCCCCCGCGGCCTCAAGGGCGGCGCCTGGGTCAACCCATAGGTCCGCAGGGCCCCAGTAACCAGCCGCAGGAGTGTTGACAAGCAGAGGATCGAGCGCCGATGGATCTGCACCCTGTGTTGGAGAGGCGCCCGAGAGGTCAAAGGACAGCCAGTCCCGCAGGGCGCGAGGCTGGCCAACTTTCTGCGTGACCTGGGCCAGCAGCGACCAGCCGCGCCCCCCCCCCCCCCGGGGCTGAAACCATTGCCGGCGGCAACGCAAGTCGCCCTCCCCGACGCCACCGCACCCCTCTGACAGCCCCTGCTGCCCCGGGATGGATTCAACGACCCAGGCGCAGTTTTTCACCATGCTGGCCCAGCGCACCGACGACGATAGGCACGGGCAAGAGGGCGAGACGCACGGGTGGAACAGCAGATTCGACCGCTGCCCCGAATCCGCCGTGCTACACCAGTGGAAGTGCGGCCGCAGGCCACAGGGCATGGTCATCTTCCGCCCCGCTGAGCCCAACCAGACCTCTCCCACGCAGGGCCCGTCACCCTTCAGCGAGTGGATTAGCACCTTCCTGGTCATGCAATGGAACCCGACCCGGTTATATGAGCGCTGCCTGGTCGACCTCTGGAACGCGCGGCCGTCGGGCGTGGTGCAGGTTCTAAGCAGGGGAAGCGCCGAGGTAAATCCAGACCACCCGCTCAAGCGGTCATGGAATCCGGCGCCGCCGCTCCCCGCTGGGAGCCCGTTGCTGGGGGGGCCTTCCGCGCCCGCGCGAGGCGTCCTCCAGTTCGCCGACGTGCGGGGCCAGGAGACCGTGGGCGAGGCGCTTGCAGATCCCCATGGAGTTTGGCAGGAGGCCCAGGCCACTGACCCAGCTCGGGAAAGCAGAATAGCAGTCGGCGCGGCGAGGACAAGGCCGCGCCGTGGACCCCGACCGCGACCGCGTCGCCGGCGTAGGAGGGGCCCGCCCCCGCGCGCGCAGTCACCCCCTCCGCCGAAGAGCAATGTCGCGCGAAGGCCGAGGGGGCAGGCCCCAGGACCGCAACCGGACGTCCTCGCGAGGACCCGACCGCAGGAGCCAGCCGGCGCGCTCCCCAGAGAGAACGGAGACGACGGTCTGGAGACGATTAACATGGCCGCAGGGACCATGACCTACCATCGTGCGCCAAGTCACCCGCCGCGTCGCCGCCAGCAGAAGAAGCAGGGGAGAGCCTGGGAACGAACGGGGCAGCCGCCCATCAGAGGGCGCCGACCGCGCCCCGCCGCCAGACCAGGGATGGCGACGCAGCCGCGCGGCAGGACCCAGGCGGCGGACGTCAGACCGCACCAAGCCCAGCGTGCCCCCAGGCAGGAGCCCCCGATCAATGTGGAGCGACTGCGGCCCAGCGCCTGGCGTCGAAAACGTCGTCTCCCCCCCGACTGACCGTGCCGACGCCGAAGGGGTCCTCCGCGACCTCCTGGACATGCCGCTCCCGCCCTGCCCCAGCCTTGCCGATCGGGAAGCTGGCGCCCCGCGACCCGGGCCCGAAGGAAGGAGAGGAGGACTGCGCCATCGCCCGCGCCGTGATAGAACTCGCCCGATCGCTGCGCGACAACGTGGAGAAGGTCAGGCGATAATGGGCCGATGGGCTGCAGCATCAGCGGCAGAACCCCGACGGACCTCGCGACGCCCCGCGGAGTCCACGTGCTTGGACAGAGGGTGACTGCGGAGCGACATCTACAGCCGAAGGGCCCCAGTCAACGGGGTGCTTAACTAATGGCCCTGGGGCGGGGCCGAGCAGTGGCTCTCCTACCTGCGGGCCGACCGCTCCCGGCTATACATGGGCCTAGGCCAGGGCCCGAACAGGTGCAGTCAGCAGCGCTTCTCGAGCTTCCTGGCCTTCCGCGGGATGCAGAGCCCGTCGGCGCCCGAGCTGAGCTACTGCGCGCCCGGGGTCGACCCGCGCGTCGCCGCGAGGTCAATCCACGACGAGAGTAGGGCGCCGGGCTCTCGGGCCGTGCTCCCGATGCCGGCCCGAGCGCTGAGGCTGCAGGGCGCCGCCCCCGCGGCCGCGGCCGCGCCCCAGCGGGCGGCCCCAAGGGCGCCCTCGCCCAGGTGCGGGCAGCAGTGCAACTGGGGGCGCATCCGCCGCGCGGCTGATGGCGCGGCCGGGCAGCTCTGCAACCCGCGCGCCCCGCCCAGCCCAGGTGGCTGGCGCGGCCGCGCCGTCGCCCCTGGCGGGGGGCCCCCGTCGGGCGCGGCAAGCTGGAGGTCGACTACTCGCCCGGCGACGAGGCCGCAGGCCAAGACTCCCAGGCAACTCCCAACAGGGGGCCCCGCGCGGGCGACCATGTCCAGGCGGCGGCCAGCAGCGCGGGCCCAGTGCGCGCTGAACAGTCGACCACTCAGCTTCCACGGCGCGAGCAGGCCGCGGAGGACTGCGCCGCAGATAGGGCGGAGGCTGGCGGGTCCAACCCCCGCGACCGCTGCGCTCGTGGCACAGTGACAGCGCAGTCGCAGCGACCGAACCTGGAGACGGACGTGCACGCGAGTCATTGAAGACAGCCGAGCGAGTGTGCAGTCGCCAACTCCAGCGCGCATGGGCTGAACGAACCAATCCCTTGGCATGGGTCTCCTCCTCTACCGCTGGCCCGGCTCGCGCCGACCTGGGGGCGCGCGATTGGCGCGGGTCTCCGCGAGCCGATCCTGTCTCCGCGAGCCCATCCTGGTCTTGGCCACCGCGAAGGCACCGGCGACGCACTATGCATTCGGCCCCCGCGGATGACCGCTTGGTGCCGAGCGTGGAATCGCAAAGCCAGCGGGCTAGAGTGGGCCTGCGGCGCGTTCTTCGTCGAAGGATGGGGCGCTCGCCGCGGCGCCGGGGGTGGCGGGGCGCCAGGGGGGGGGGGCGACGACCCTGAGGGGCGCGGCGCTTTCTGCGGGGAGCGCGCGGACGACATGCATCGCGAATAATTCGGCACCCGCAGGGCCTGCAGGTTGCGAGGGGCCCAGATGGGATGGGGGGCTGTCTGGGAACGCCAATTGCAGCGCAATGAGCAGCAGCAGCGAGAAACAGGCGAAGGTAAGTGGGGGGCCGCGACTCGGTCGGCAAGGGCGAGAGACGCGCCGACCCCACCTGGCCCAACAACGAGCAGTCGACAGGCCTGCCCGGCCTCCTCAGGCCTCAGCGCCGCGGCCGCCCCAGGACTGCCAGCGCTGCTCGCGCGCCGGTCTCCTTGATCTGCTCCCCCGGCGCAGCAGGTCCACCGGCCGGGGGTCAGCCTGGCCGCCGCTCTTGCTCAGTTCGGACCTCCCTCGCCAGGCCTGCGCGTGGCCTGTGGCCGCAGTTCTTGTGGCCCCTGCGCATCCAAGCCGGCTTGCATCTGCGCGCGCTGACCCACAGTGCACCGTCCATCCAGACAGTGCGGGGCACCGAGCCGCATCAGTTTCAGCCTCCTCACCGCCTTTCGAACCACCCTGGTGCCCATGGGCGCCGCGCGCCGTCCACCCCGACAGCGCGCGGCATGCCAGCTGAGATTTTTTACACCGGATTTGCGCCAAGTAGATGCCCCTTGATCGGCTGATCGGCCGCGCGCTGTCCACCCCTGCAGCGCGCGGCTCTCTGCGGCTTCGGCCGCCGTTCCCAAGCCGGGTTAGGTGCCCCTAGACCCGCCGCGCACTGTCCACCCCGGCAGCGCGTAGACCCACGGCTTATGCCGCAGTTTTGCACCAGGCAGTGCGCCCGCTCGGCGGGCCCCTGCTGCTCGGATGCAGTTTGTGCGCCCGCTGCCCACCCGTGCCAACCTGGGGATGTGGGCGGATCGTAGGGGATCGCAGCAGCACAATGCACGGGTCGCCCGCCTCCAGCCCCCGCTGGCGCCGGCGCTCGGGCTGCCGTCCCGCCCGCGGGGATCTCCCTACAGGCGGGGCGCTCCAGCTCCCTGCCCTCTTCCTCCCGCCCCCTTGCCTTGTCCCTTCCTCCCTCTTTGCGCCGCCATCGGGCGCGCGCTGCTGCCGCAGCGGGCAGCCCCCCCCGTTTGCAGCGCTTCCTGGCTTGGTTTTGCCGCCTGCGCCCACTTCGCGGGCCCAGTATTGTGCTGGTTCGTGGACTTGCCGTACCCTGTCAACCAACCACCCACCTGAGCAGCCACGCGGCGCTTTTCCTGACGTGCAAGTACCTCGTCCTGTTTCACCGACGGCATCACTGCAGTACTTGCCTCCACGAATTGGGCCCCGTCATCGCCCGTGGGTGCTCTGGCGCTGCGGCCCGGCTGCTGCCGCGGTTCCCGCTGACGGGGCCGGCCGCGCCACCGCACCAAGGACGGAAGTCTTCCGCCTCTTCCCCGCGGCCGCCCTGTCCGTCCTATTTCTTCTCCTGCACGCTGGTCGCATCGCTGGTGCCTCCTTTAGCTTTCTCGCTGGTGCAGCCATTCTGCCCCGCCGCCGACGAAAAAAATGCATGGCGCCACTGCGCTGGGCTTCACAGGAACCCGCGAAAGTGGCGACGGTTGCGCAGGTGGCATCACCCCCCTGGAGCCGCGAGGTGTCTTCGGGGTGCGCGTGGGGCCCAATTGCACTGGGCCTCCCAGGAACCCGCGAAAGTGGCGCCAGTTGCGCAGGTGGCAGCACCCCCACTGGGGCCGCGAGGTCCCGTCTGGGTGCGCGTGAGACCTCATTGCACGGGGCTTCCCGAGAACCCACGAAATTGGCGCCAGTTGCGCAGGTGGCAGCACCCCCCTGGAGCCGCGAGGTGTCGCGTGTGTGCGCGTGGGGCCCCAGTGCGCGGGGTTTCCAAGAAAACCGCGGATGTGGCGCCAGTTGCGCAGGTGGCAACACCCCGCTGGAGCCGCGAAGTGTCGTCTGGGTGCGCGTAGGACCCGACTCTTCTTGGAAACCCACGAAACGGGAGCCAGTTGCGCACTTGGCGCAGCTCCCCCAGGGAGCCGCGAGGTGTCTTCTTGGTGCGCGTAAGACCCCAGTGCGCTGAACCTCCCAAGAACCCACGAGCGGGGCGACAGTTGCGCAGGTGACAGCACCACCACGGGAGCCGCGAGGCATGTGGCGAAGCAGCGTCCACCCCCAAGAGAGGAAGAGGCAGGAGGAGGAGACGTAGACACCAGAGCGCTCTATTCAAATCGGGCACCCAACCAAGGGAAGGTTAGGAAAAGCATATTGGGGACGCTGTCGTCGGCGTTGTGGAAAGACGCTGATTTCGGCCTGATCTTGGGCTTCAAAGGGGCGCGAACTCCTCGGGGTCCCTGCCTTCCCCACCAAGCGCCGTCGATGTAGAACATTATTGCAGTGCGCACGGTGGTATTCGTCTCCGTCGCTGGGACACCCGTGAACGAACGATAATGAGTGCCGCACTTGGGGCTCTTCATTCTTTGCAGCTTCAGGCCAGGGGTGGCTCCGGCACGCTAAGGACTGGGGACCTCCAGAATGCGGCACAGGAGTTTCGAGGATCGATGTTCAAGCCGATCTTGGGCCTTTTTGCTGCAGGATCGCGCACCTGCTGCATCTTGACCACACATGGGTCTAGAAGCGGGGGCCTGCTACAGGGAGACCTAATCCGCCCCACCTGGGAGTCTATGCAGGAGACAGGCCTGCACGTGTGCAGCATCGAAAGGGTGCACCCCTTACCATGCCGAATTGTCAAACCGTGAAGCTGGCTCCCACTGCCTGGCTATCCAAGCCAGCATGGCTGCGGACGACGATATGCTGATGACAATGACGGCGACTTGGACCACAATCTCGACGACGGTGATACCGACTTCTCGTATGGTGGTGGCGGCATTGTGATGGTGAACGTGATGGTAATTGTTACGAGGGAGCAGAGGAGGGAGCCCCGCATGAGGCATATGAAAATAAGGTTCAAAAATACGACTAGTTCAACGGTCGGCAGCAGCAAGAATTGCAGAGGGACTTCGGCAGTGATGGGGATGATATGTAGTGTTCCCCGCCCGTGGATGCAGGAGCCACTGCAGAGGAGAAGCGTGGTGCGACGCTTCGGCAGCCGGTTTCGTTGACAACTGCATGCTCTACACAACGGCGAGTTTCAGCATGGTTGTGATTGTGAGTTGCAGTCTTGTAGAGCGTCGGTTGGCGTCGAATTGCCAATACCAGTTGTAGTGCTGCATTTGTTTAGTTGATGATTTAGCATCTTTGTTGCTAATCAGTACAAGAGAGGTCCAACAATGTTGGCCCAACGGGGTGTGGGTGAGCAGCTCCTGCAGTGAAACCAGCCACTTGCTCAAACTGAACCGTTGTGAGCATCACGAATCGCTTTCTTGGTGGTCAGTGCCCGATTGCTTTCTTCCTTCTGCGGAGGGGTCCATACGTTGCAGGAGTCGGCAGCCCGTATGCATTCTTAGAGCCATCTTACTCCCGCAGCCTTGCTTCTGCCGCAGGGTGGCACCCTCACAGTCCAAGTCTGACATCGCTCTTCAGGCCAGGGGATACTAGAGTTTCTCTTGACACTCACGAAGCCTAAGTCGGCCGCTCATTAACATCACGTAGCATGTTGGCACTGGCTGAGCCTCCAGAGAAGACTCTAAGGATCTTGGGTTAGAGCACTGTGGAGTTCCAACCTCGAGTAGGCGCGAGATGATGCCGTGGCTGTGGCCCATGCGTTTCTAGATCAGGCGGCGATAGGAATAGTGGCTGACATGCTGATCGGCGAAGCATATGGATCTATAGTTGCAAGTGTGGGTGCCAAGCATTTTAGTTGTTGGATTCTGGATGTGTAAGCTCTGCGGTGCAAGCGACGTGGTGTAAGCTGTTCAGTGCAACACACGTGGTACCATGCATGTGGTGCAAACTTTGCTGCGCAAGCTTTATGGGGCGTTCCAGACAGGGCCTCGCCTTCGAGGATCGAAGGAGTTGCCATCTCTTCCTCGGCGGAAGGCGGCGGAAGGCTTGCGGAAGCTGGCGGAAGCAAAACGAGGCCGTCTCCGCCGGCGGAAGGCGGCGGAAGGCCAAAGGAAACCGGATGAGATAAGAAGTTGCCATTCAAGAGGTTACATTCTTGGAGGGTTCGGGGTGCCCATAACCCGCAATCTGGCGCAACTGATGTGGTGTATGTCATGTCGTGCAGGTGTACCTATAGGCGGTGCCATAGTGGGTGGTGGGTGTACGCCAGGTGGCGTAAGCTGCGCGGTGTGATTTCTGAGTCGGAGCCTACATGGTGTAAGCTGTATGGTGCAAGCCAAGCTGTGTGGTGCAGGCTGTGCGGTACACGCAGCGCGGTGGATGCTGCGCGGCCGCCCAGCGAACGAGGCACCCACGAGGCGCGCACAGGGCGCCCACGCGCGGGCACAAGGCGGCTCTTTGGTTGAACCACCCAGCGTACGATACGCCCACAAGGCGCCCACGGGCGGGCACCAGGCGAAACCTCGGGTGAGACACCCCCATTGCCCTCTGGCGAGTGTGTGCTTTGAATTTGGGTATCTGCTGGCTTTTTTTGTCGCACCCGCAGGCGAATGCGCCGGCGGCGTCACACGTCGGCTCGGGCTACGAGCAGAACTAATTGCCTAGCGCGCGTGCAGGCATCAGCTGGCACGCGCAGCGTGCCCTTTAAGCCCCCGTGCGCGGAGCACGCCAGCGTGCACATTGTGCGTGTCTTGTTTCCACAGTGCGTTCTCCAGCGCAAGACGTATGCGGGGACGCGGGGGGACGTATGCAGGACATCTTTGGTAATGAAGATTGTATTGATGATGGCGATGATGGTGGTGATGATAGTGGCGGTGATGATGATAATGATTGCGATATTGATAACGATGGTGACGACGATGATGGTGGTGATACGGATGATGATGGTGATGATGGTGAGGATGATCATGAGGATGACTGATGCTGTTGCCGCCGATGTTGCTGATTACTGCGAGGATAATGGTGGTAGTGATGCTGATGATGGTGATGCTGATGATGGTGATGCTTATGGTGGTGGTGATGAGGACGAGGACGTTGACGAGGGCGACGATGATGATAGCGGTGGTGACGATGCTGATGATGCTGATGCTGGTGATGCTGATGCTGCGGATGGTAATGGTGGTGATTGTGATCATGATGGTGATGATGGTGGTGCTGATGATGGTGGTGGTGGGGGATGTGATGATGACGATGAAAAATAACGATGGCGCTTATGCTGATCATGATGGTGATGATGATAATGGCTACGATGATGATGACGATGATGATTTTGATGATGCTGATGCTGATGATGCTTCTTATGATGATGATGCCGAGGACGATTATGATGATGCTGATGGTGACAACGGGTACGATGCTGATGATGGCGATGATGACGATGACGATGAGGATGCTGATGATACCGATGATGTTGATGCGGGTGGCGACGATGATTGTGATGATGACGACGATGATGATGCTGCTGGTGATGATGAGGGCGACGACGATAATGATGCTGATGATGGTGCGGCTGCTGGTGATGATGGTGATCCGCTCTTTCGGTCTTGTCTTCCAGTGCGGAAAGTTGGCAGCCAGCAGGGTACGACATGGAAGGTTCGCGGAGGGGCGGCCAGGCAGTGCCGCAATTGCGCTCCACGCTCTTCTGCGGGTCCAGCTCCAGTTACTGCGGCCAGGCCTGCATGGGGCAGCCCACTGGCTGCACCCTGAAGTGGGGCCCGGGAGGGGACCGCGGCCTGAGTGGGGTCCTCCGTTGCCTCGCTCTGGCCCTCCAGGCCAGAAGCCGGCGGGACGAGGAGGTGATGGTGAGGGTGAGATTGGGAGGGGGAGAGGTCGAGGCTGGGGGATTGTGGAGCCACACGGGGTTTCACAGGGTTTTCTGTGTAGCCTTTTTCCCTTCTCTTGGTTATGCGTCTTATCTATATGTCATTCTCTCTCTCTCTCTCTCTTTTCTCCCTCCCTTTCTCTCTCAAGCTATACCATTTTTCTGCGAGCCTCCTAAGGCTAACTGAGTGTACATATTCGAGAGCATCACCAGACGAATCCGTTGGACCGCCTACTGGGCGCTTCTATTGGACAACATCACAAATGGACCCCTTTTTCGAAAACACGGAAAAGACACTCTATGTTTTCGCAACAGGAACCCGCTGGGAATCATTACCAAAGGATCCTATTGGAGAACCACATAATCGGAACCTTTATGGAAAACGCTGCTGGCGGTTTGTGTTGGAAAGCATCATAAGAGGAATCCTTTGGAAAACGCCACACAGAGATTCTGTTGAAAAGCCTTACATCAGGATCCTTTCGAAAGCGCCACACAGGGATTCGAATGGAAAGCCTCGCGCTCGGATTTCTGTGCTGAGTGCTACACGGGCTCCAGCGGATGGCCTCACAAAAGGGATCCTTTGGGGAGCGCTGCGAACACATTATGTTAGACACCATCAGATTTGGAATCCTTTTGGAAAGCGCTCCAGGGGAACCCTTTGGGGAAAAACTTACAACTGGAACCCTGTGGAGAGGGATCTAACAGACTGTTTCGGAAACCTCACAACAGAAATCCTTTGGACAACACAGAAAAGTTGTATTGAAACGCCCGCAACAGGAATCCTTCGGACAGCACGCCACATGCTTTTTTTTATGGCCTTGCAACACGAATCCGTTCGGGGCCATCATCATGCTTACCCCAGTGGAAAGCATCATAAACGCAACATGTCGAGAGGAAACCTTCGAACAAAAAAACAGCGAAATTATTCGGGAAATTCTCTCAACAATGATCTTTCGGAAAACACAGCAAAGGGATTTTACGGGACATCCTCTCCCTGTTTTTTTTTTGAACGCGCCGCACACAGGGTTCTAGGGGAAATTGTCACCACATGCATTTAGTGGAAAACACTACACTAATATTCGATTGGAAAGTATCACGCAAATGACCTGTCGGAAAGAACCACGCATAGATTCTGTTGGAAAGCCTCCCAAGCGGAATCCATTGGGCAACACCACAAAGAGATTCTACTGGAACGCCGCACCACAAATATATTATATTGGAAAGCCTCGCAGTGATAGTCTTTTGGAACGCACCACGTAAGGATTCGATTGGGAAGCCTCACATCGGAAAACCTGTTTGAAAGCACCACTGACGGATACTATTGGAAAGCCGCGCAAAAGGGAATCCACCGGGAAGCATCCCAGGGGGATTCAATCGGGAAGACTCGCACCAGGAATCCTTTGGATAGTGTCGCAGAGGGATTATATTGGAAAGCCTCCCGACAAGACTCTTTTGGACAGCGTCACGCACACATTTTCGATTGGAAGCCTTCGCAGCAAAGGATAATTTGGAAGCCGCCGCAACGGGATTCTACGGGAAATCCTCACAGTGGGAATCCTCTGGAACGCGCCGCTGGGGGTTCTTTTGGAAAGCATCACAACATGAACCTTTTGGAAAGCAAGGAGATCCCACAGGGAAGCATCACAAACGAAATCTCTTGGGAATCGCAGCAACTAGAATCCATTGGAAAGCTTCACAGCCGGAACCCATTGGCAAGCACCACGAATATATTCGATTGGAAAGCTCCACGACAGGAATCTTTTGGAAAACGCCACAACGGCATTTTATGGGAAACCGTCACAGTGGGAATCTTTTGGGAAGCGCCATGAAGGGCATTCTAGTGGAAATCCTGATAACAAGAGCCGTTGGGAAAGAACCGTGAGGGGATTCGATTGGAAAGCATCACAACAGGAATTACATGGAAAGCGCCACAAAGGAATTCTAAAGGAAAGCCGCACAATGGGATCCCATTGGGAAGTATCACAAAGGATTGTTTCCCCCAAAAAACATAAGTAGTATGTCCCCCCGAACAGCGGAAGCTTAGGGGTTCTTACTTGGTCTAACCATCTGGCCCTGCCCGCGGGCTTTTCGCCCCCGTGCCGCCCCGTGCCGCCCCCGTGCCGCCCCGTGCCGCCCCCGTGCCGCCCCGTGCGGCCCCCGTGCCGCCGCGTGCTGTCCTCGTGCCGCCCCGTGCCGTCCCCGTGCCTCCCCTTGCTGCCCCGTGCCGCCCGTGTCGCCTGTGCCGCCCGTGCCGCCCGTGCCCGTACCGCATTATTTTGGTTTGCATTGTTTTGTTGCGCATTTCTTTGCACTGCGTTGCATTGCTTTGCGCTGATTTGCTTTGCATCGCTTTGCGTTGCATGGCTTTGTTTTGCTTTGCATTGCT